GCTGCAACTGCGTGCTTTGTTGAAACATCCAACCACCGAAGGTTACAGCGACAATGAAGTGGCTTGTTTTTGAACAACCACAACACAAACTTAAGCTGTCTGGTTGATGGGGCAACCGCTTCACCTCTCGGCACATTAAGCCGATCCGCAAGCCGCCTGGCCAACACATCCTTCAAGCCCGTGGTTGTCATGCCTTCATCACGAAGGCCACTCCTCAAGCTATCGCAGGTCATCAGCATAAGCACATCCTTGCAAACACGAAGACGTTCCTGTTCGTCTCCTCCTTGACTTGAGGCCTCACTTGATGCTCCCGGCGAAGCCAGCAGGCTCGAGACACTGGCAAACCGAGACCTTGGGGTTGACTGAGCCCCTGATGTCAACCGCGAGGCTTCACCTTGCCCTTGTCCTGACCCTGAAGCTACTTCACCAGAACCACCAAAGGAAGCTTCCCGATTCAGTTCTGGAGCAGGAACCTGAAGTGAGATCCTAGCAGCGGGAGGAGATGTAGCCTCTACTAAAGTTTGTCGCACAAGCCTCTGTACTTCTACGGGATCCAAAGTCCTCGCGGCCTCGTATTTGGCGATCTCTGCTTTGACCGTATGCTTAGCCATTTCTCGCAAGCGCTGAAGCTTCGACTCTCTTTTCGTAGAGCGCTTCAACCAACCGCAAAAAGACTTAATGAGCTCCCATACGACAACAGCTACCAAAGCTACGATACCAGACACCATAAGCAGTTCATCCATTCCAGAAGCAGGCAAAGGGTCCTTACCCTTGTCCTTATCTGAACTTGCTGCTTCCGCGCCAGGCAGTCGGTCCAAAGCCAGCACGACACAGCTAAGCACAACCACATGTACCGCCTGCAGCTGAACCATATCATCTGTGAAGCCTTCAAAACCCCACTGCTGCAAAAGATCAAGAAGCCTTACTCTAGGATGCATCTTGGTAGATAAGTCAGCCAGCTGACGCCGTCCTTCCACATGACTTACCTCCAGCAAGCCACGTTGAACTTGCTCACGAATGAAAGAACAGCGGACTCGCAAGTGTCTGGTTCTCCATGATCCAGCTCCACCACAAAGCATGGCCGTTGCTGCACTATTGTCTACACGCAGCTGACGGGGAATCCGCCTTCCACAGATCTCATCCACAAGACAGCCAATACACTCCAGGAGAGTAGCAGCATTTGTTGCCTCTAGCAGCTCACTTTCCATTGTCGAAAGGGTCGTCATCGCCTGCTTACCAGCCTTCCAAGCCACTGGTCCACCGTTCACGGTTACTACAGAGGCACCATACGACCTTTCACCATAAGGAGCAAAGCTAGAATCACTAAAACCCACTAAAACAACCTCTGCTGTGTCAGCTGCTGCTGCTGGTGCGTTGCTGCTGCTGCTGTCGCTACTGACATGCCCTTCTCCAAGAACAAGCTTGAGGTTCAAGGTCGATACTAAGTAGGAAAGCACTCGTTTGGCAATGCGGGTCACCCTCCTTGGATGTTTCG